CCATCCAACATAATCTTTTAGAGCTCATAAAAGAAACCTACGTGGCATGATTCCCCAAAAAAAATGCAACGTTACCCAAGTGAAGGAACCTTGCACACCGCAAGATGTGTTGTATCGAAGATGGCGAGGAGTATGAAACAAAACTAATCGCGAAGATGCCAACTATAATGGCCGTTTTTGCATACGATTCCTTCTTCGCGTACAAGTGATAGTTCCCATGTAGTAAGCGGGGGTCTAGTTGAACACAATAAGATATCGACAGAACTTCATAAAAAATATGCCTTTTTAACACTGCAGCACAGGGATAAATAGATAGAGTTTTTGGCGTCAATCAAACCCGTCTGAGGGATTCGCCCCGCACTCGACTTCCATTCAGAATCGTAGAGGCGTAATGAGTGCATATGTGGCCTATACAATGACTTGCGTTGACGAGGCGATGTACAAGTCAGTGCTTTTATCCTCCCAGACGAGTCCGGTATCAATAAACCGACCCCGGGAGGATGGAAGGCTTGGTTGACCCTGACGGGTATCAATCCGGGTTCGAACCTCTGATCGTGCGTGTGAGATAGTGCGCCACTTGGCACTACATAACCCACCACAGAGATGATCACGAAATTCGTTGCTTAGGCCCTGCCCACATCTGAGGTTTCCTTGTCGTGAAAACATGCAGTACTGTAACCCATTCCTTGTTCCTAGATGACTTGTTACTTGTAACATCTATGTGTACGAGCTTGGAGGAGTAATTAATTCTCACAAGGAGAACACAAGAACTTTCCATAAGATCCTTATAACACAGGAACTTTTAATAGAATTCTTGCTAAAAGGCAAAATGAAGACGAGCAGAGGTGATGAAACTATTAACCGCTGACATATCCCGCAAAGAAAAGATGTCATCAGGGAAATCGTGGTCCTAGAACTGCTGATGCTAGATTACACGCTTTCCAATTATGTGCATGTACTATTTTCCACTGCTTTTTTCAGGTTCGTCCACTGCAATATTACAACTAGTCAATATCTTTACGGTCGGCCTCTCTTCAAGCGTAGCAGTGCTGTGCGCAATGATCACGAAAAATGTTATTACGAAGACTTGAGGAGCAACTAAACACGAAGCTCCTCGATTGGCTGTGTCTTCTTTCATCATAACTAGAAATATCCTTAATCGATGTCTCATACTTGTTACCTAAATTACTACCATTTTTCAGATTCAGAAAAAAAGTTCAGTGCTCACAGCGCAAAGTTCTAGATGAATGTTGATGAAATGTGTCGAATAGAAGGAGTTACTACTTTCCCTGACCTCGATCTTTCCTAGATTCTCTCGTCGCATATTCATTTACCAGTTGGGCTACGTACGCTAATGCGTGCATTACATGCCCACCATTATCAGATGTCGTTATCACTGGACCTTCTTTCCTCCACGGGTACATCTTAGTTGAGAATCCCAAACAATTGGCGGTCGGATGAGCTTTGACGTCAATGATATCAAAACATAAAGAACCATGATCTTCCACCTAGTTACAAACCTTGCTATGTAGCGGTCGTGATCTATATAATAGTCGTGATCATAAATACATCGTAAATACCACAGGAGTCAAATTCAGTTGATAAGGGCTCTTATCAGTCGTTATCAGCTGCTCTCAGTTCCTCGATCGTCTACGATCCCGCCATACTCCACAACACATGCCAAACTGTCAAGGCTCCACTATTAATGCCATCATTATAGTGGCTCTACGCTTTGTAGGATTTTCATTAACCCTTGTCAGTTTTATCAGCCACTGGCCTGGCACCAACCATTCTCGATCCCGTCATAGAAACCAACGATCCTGTCACATCCTACATAACCTATTAAAATTCCAAGATTCCATTATTAACAGAAAGTGCGTTACAGAACTAGTGGCTCTCGCCTTCTATGGTTCCTTATCAGTCCATATCACTTGCTATCATTCCCTGTCACCAATCATTTATGGTCCCTTCACTTCCTACATAACCTACCAAAGTGTCAAGTCTTCATCGTTAATACAAAGGGAAATATGGGTCTTGTGGCTTTTGCCTTTCAAAGCTCCTTATCACTCCCTAACAATTGTTGTCACTTCCTACCACGTACCACCGCTGTTCACATCGTGCCGCCTATCTCTCTTCCAAATTTGAATGCTCTAGGTTCAGTGGGACAGGAGTTATGAATTTCCGGTCAGACAAACACACACACACACACACACACAAACACACCAACAGACACACTTAGCCGATTATATAAGTAGGATCCTTCTTATATACACTTTTTTGGAAGTTAGAAAGTGTTAGTTGGAGGATATTGAAGGAGGATATATGTGAAAACTATTCCAAAACACTGAATCAATTCATTGTTACTCCTTAGACGGAGCCCTAGGGGCAGTTGTCTGAAGTCAGTATCATAAAGGCAACACAGGATCTCGTTTATTCTTTACTATTCGTTAACGTTGTTAGAATTCTCCTGCCTTTTGAGGTTTTTTGGTGGAACGAACGGGCTGACGTTTCGACGTAATCGTCGTCTTCAGAGGCCTGAACGAAATTCAAGAAGTTTTACATTATCCGACAGAGTTCGCTCTTGTTCGCAAATCCGACCGAAACTCACTTCTACTACTACCCACTTCATGAAATACTCACCAGGCTCCACCGTCAAAGCGGATAGAATTGCCGGCTAAAGGTTGCCGGTCATCTTCGGAGACCTGCAACTTTTAGGGAGACTATCATCAGTTCAAACGACCAAATCAAAATGATAATCGACGCGAATTGACACATCTCTACTCGTGGAGTAGGACAACGGCCTAATGTTTCGGAATTAACTATCCATGATCATTTGCAGAAACTTGGTTTTGTAAATTGCCTTGATGTTTGGATATCTCGCGAAACGAGCGAGGGCATTGTGATAGACCGCGCCTCCATGTGCGTCTCGCTCCTCGAACAAAATAAAAATAAGCTGTTTCTGAAACGCATGAGCATGGAGGATGAAAATTGGAATGTGTACAACAATGAGGAGCGGAAACGATCGTGAAGCCTCCCTATTGAGCCGTCACAAACAGCTGCAGAAGTCAAAATCCAGATGTGGAAGATTATGCCGAGTCGCTAGTGGGATTTCAGGGAAATACCTTACCATGTGCTGTTGTCGCATAATCAAACGATGACTTCAGAAAGGCACTATAGTTAGCTAGAAAAATTGGAGGCAGCCATAGACCAGAAGTGACCCGAACGGTCCAATCGTGAGGGCATTATCTTCCAATAGCGTACCTCCAGACCACATGTATTTTTGGCCACTCGTCAAAAATTGCTAAAGCTTGGGTGGGTATCTTACCACCCCCCCCCCCATATAGTCCGGACCTAGTACTATCAGAATACCACTTGTTTATGTTTCTGCAAAATTTTTTGAATGGGAAATCGTTCAATCCGCTGGAGGACTGCAAAAGCATCTGAGAGGGTTTTTCGATTTGAAGTCTGGAACCTTCTATGAAAGTGAGAAACTGGAACCTACAGGATCCTTACTGAACAGAATGGAGAATATACTGTTCAAACAATGGATTTCTTCTTCTAGAAATTTTCATTCAAAGATGAGTCAAAACTCGGCGGAAACTTTTCGGACAACCCAATAGAGAGTAGATAGAAAATGTATTATAGTTAGCGCGGAGTGGAGGTGGCACCTCACCCACCCCGTGCTTCTTCAAGCATGAAGCTCAGTTAAAAAAACTGTATGTTCTCGGGCATGAAACGTTCCTGAGCTCGATTATAGGCTTAACTCTATATCTGCGCTATGGCGTTCAAAGTTGAAGAAAGGGAAAAAATACATAGCACGATGCCGGTACAGGTAGAAATCACCGTTTTGCAGTCTCCACATCACTCCACATTACTCACTTCGCTCCGCAGTACTGACTCTATTTCATTAACCTACCCACCAAATTACTGTTTATATATAAGAAGGAAATGTTGGATAGAACTGGGCTTTCCATATCACTAGCTTTACCGTAATCATGAAGTTTTGCAGACGGACAGAACGACAAACCCACATTAAAACATACCGACATACCGACAAACCGATTCTCGGCTCAGATAGGTTCCTGAGCATAATCATGGGCTAACCTCCTTACATGCGCTCTAGCGCTCAATGTTGAAAAAAAAGAGAAGGTCCCCCCAACACATTATCACCTCCGATTTTTGTATAGACGTTCATAGCACTATGTCAGTACAGCACAGTTTTAAACTACCCACTTCGCTCCATATTACTAACTCCACTCCGCAGTACTCACTCAACTTCACTACCCACCCACCCAATTACTTTATACATAAGTAGGAAATGTAGGATAGAACTGAGTTTTCTATACCACTACCCTTGTCGTAAACACAAAGTTTTACGAACGGATAGACCGATAAACTGACAAACCGACACACGAAGTTACTGCTCCATTTATATGAGGAATAATTGAGGACGGACCCCGACAGTACAATTAATTTTGGAAACTTGTATTGTCTCACCTTTTCTTATTCTGCCTTATCTGCCCTGCTTGCTGCGCTAGCCAGCGATGGGGGATACAACTGCACAACACCCGTCATTGAGTTTTACGAGATTGCTGATCTGTGGCATCGATGCATTGCTGTATTCAGAGGTTTGCCGGGAAAATGGTCCAATTAACGTGTGATTAACTCGAAATAGAGGAGTGATATGTCACTCATGAAGTGCGCAAAATGGAAGGACTTTGTTGCTCGAGAGTAGGACCGAACGTTCGTCGTAAAACAAACGACATGCATTTTTGGTCAAACACCAACCGACACATGAACAGAAAGGCAAATAACAAACAAACACTCCATACATCAACAGACACATTTAGCAAGTTATGTACTATATGTACCAGAACGTATTCGTTATTTGGAGCACATTAACACATTTTATTCTGAAGCGAACAAATGGAATGCGCACACAACGTAATATTCTACAATCGCTTCAAAAATCATGATAGGAGCATTGCTTCACTTGCTTGTTACTCCTCATCCAGTGGTATTCCCATTATGACCATAGTTGAGAAGTGCAATGATTTGAGAAGAATCAAACCACATATGAAGATCCAAAAGAGAACTGCACTCATTAGTAGAAACGGCGGTAGCTCTGAAATTCAGGTATTTTTCTATTGTGAGGTCGGTTTTCAAAACCATTCACACATCAGTTGGCCATAAATGTGCAGTCTCAAAGAGCATCTCACTTCGTGACATATCGAACATCATGTAAAGTCTGAAGTAAACCTCTATCACGGCCTCCATTTCAACCTTGCTCTCAGACGCGACCAAACCAATAAAATTTGAATTCTTATGGCAAAATCATATCCTCTCCAGTTAAACCTACGGGGATCTAGTGCACCTGAGCAGGTGACTGAAAAATTCATTTTTTCAGTGCTCAAGGAAAGTACTGAGGGACTGAACGATCGTTTCCAATTCAGTGGGCACAACATTCGCAATTAAATACATGGAGAGCTCATTCCCGCTAATGACTAGAGCGCAGAGCTGCAAGTCGGCTCCGCCGGACTGCTGTAGTGCAAGGAAACGATTCTCAAGTCCCCAGCTGCTGGGTTATTCGAAAGAAATTGCGATTCTTGAGGGTTTCAAAAAAATCCTCTCTAATATCGAATATATACCCCATTCCATTCGATTATCTTTTGCCATCATTCTAAAACAAGACCGATATCTTCACCATAGCTGCGAAATTTTCATATCGCGAACTGTGTGAAGTGACAGCAGTTAACAAGACATCAAGTCAAAAAAGATAAATCAAGTAAACGCTTTCTGCTTAGCGGTTTAAAATTGATATCGGCTGACCGGATCATCACATTGCACGTGCGAGTGCTGGTAAGCTATGGCATATAAGCCATCAAGCAAGCAGCGAGCATATAAGCAGAAGTTTTGTCTATAACTTCCCAACCTTGTGATAGAGACTGCCTACGAGCCATAAATGTCGATAGCCGCTAGGCCTGTAGCGCCCTTTGTGTTAACAGTGGACCCTTGGCACTTTGGTTGAGAGGATAAGTGTCAAGGGGCCGCAAATGATTATTGACAGGAATTGATGGGAACAGAAAGACAATGATAACGAGTCAGAGAAGGCAGGTCACTAGGCCTTTGTTTTTCGCGTTAATAGTGGAGCCTTGGCACTCTGGAAGGTGGTGTGGTATATAAAGCTTATTGATGAAAGGAATGACAGCAACTGATAGGGACTTATAATGAGCCAAGGAATCTGTAGCCTCTAAGTCTATAGTACTCAGTATTCATGTAGGATGGGACGAGATCGTAGGTAATCGGTGGTAGGAACTGATAACAATGGATAAAAAGTGATGAGGGGCCTCAGGGAGCGAGTCAACTGCCGAACAAAATCCTGAAGTTTTCGATATTTATGATGTTGCTTTGACTCTTCAGTAAGTTTCAATACGAGATGGTAGAGTAGGATGACCGGAAGTGAGCGGAGAGCACAGTGATGGGAACTATACCTGCACTACGCTTTAATAAGATGAAAATACGGTTTATGCCTTACTATTAGATTACCACTTTCACATACGAAGACTTGTGACTTAATAAAGGATCACGAGTTCCCTTTGTTTCGATATCGTTTACCACAAAACTGATCCCACGTTCAATAACCTAGATTTCTCAAAAATTTCATGTATCCTTAGAGAAAAGAAGTTCCATTGATAATGTCAGCCAATAACACTCGACAACGTTCTGGTTAAACCATTCAAGGATTTGGTAGCCTAATAATAAAATCTTCAATAGGTGAATATTTTTGAGGAACAGATAAGACTCCTAATCGTAGGCGTATGCATCGGCACATATTAATGCCACTTGCACCGCCTTACCGGCCTCGTCATCAGATTTCGTGTACTAGAAAGTATCACAAGCTTCAGAGAAGGTGAGACGAGTTAGCCGGCTTTTACATATATAAAATACTATTAGTATTACTATTAGTTATTATATATATGGGTGTATATACAGAGTGTCCCAAAATTATGAGCGCCTAAATTCAGAAACTTCTGAGACAATAGAAATTTAATAAATACACTTCAGCCGTTATTAATTAGTTGTATAGGATGGTTTTCGTGCACGGTTACTTAAGTAAAACTCCCAGTATCTTTTATATAGCCGAGGCTCATTTAATGCCATTCCCAATCATCAGTATGCGAGAGGCGGAAGGACATTATGACACTCTTTGTGGTTCCTATATCATTATAGAAGGCTACTGTACGACACAGAGAAGTAGAGTTTTTTGAAAATAAACGAAAAGGTGGTGAAAAGACTAGGGAATTGAAGCTAGGGCTATTGAAATGGTCACCAATCGCGAGCCAGTCGTGATGCTGGGTGACCCATCAAGAAGACGGCAAAGGAGTAAGACTTATCGAGGTTGTCAATGGGGATGTTTTTGAACACAAGCTCAATTGCGATTCCAACAGTATGCACTAATGCCACTTTGTTTCCATCTTAAACAGGCAGGGTGGGGTCAAAGAATTCAGAAAGTCACCAACTCACTTGAGTGTAGACATAGGATTGCATAGGATTGCAACCCTTCATAGTTTCCCCACCTATGGATCAAAAAAAAAATCATGAATCAAAAAAGATAGCATTCTGGCTATAAACATCGAACTTGCAATCTCTCACAAAAAAGTTGTCATAAGAACAGCAAAATGATGTTTTCTGGGGGAGTCACTGGCAAGGATGAAACGCCGCTGGTTTAGTCGGTACCGGCGTGAAAATTGACAAATACTCGTGCTCAGAAGCACACCGATTACAGCACTGTTCCGACTCCGCTTCCTGGAATTACTCGTAGTCCTTCTTGCTGGTAAGGTACTTCGCTCGGTAGTGGTGCCGGTCCTAGCTGACTTCATTGGCAAAAAGTACTGGCCATCCCTCTTCTCAGATCTTTATTCCCTTCACTCCTTCGTATGGCACCTAATGAGAAGAAAACCTGTTGAGTTGGTAGTCCCAGTGTGGAGTCCTAGAAAGCAAGACTCAAGGAATGCTGGGAAGAAATGGAGGGTTTTACTTGCGTGAAACATGCGGGGAGTTCGCGAGGAAACTTTCGCCTATATTTACGCTCATAGGAGCTATTCTGAAATTTGATTGTAGCATGTTGTAGCACATAGAGTTAGCAAACATTTATATAAAATCCGTTATCATCATCGGCTGGGGAACTTTGAACACACTGCCATGGACTTGCACCCATAATTTTGGAAAATCCCGTATACATGTATGCATATGTATATGCAACTGAATGCCTGTAATGGTTTTTGCTAGGCCCCACGATTCCAATGCTCCTCATTAAGATTTTCTTGTATGGCTATGCTGTCACAAATGTACTCGAAAGAGAGATGAATTTTCGAGCTTAGAAGAGCTGTCGGCTTTTCACAAGAAGGCGGACATTTCAACAACAGTGATGGGATGATGGTCACCTTCTGATTACTCTTGATACTTACCTTTTTACTTATTCAGTTTCTACGAAAATTCAGCTGCTTCTCAAAACTCTGGTACTCTTATGTCATTTTTGCTGTTATTGAGACTACGACCTTATGCCATACTTTACACACGCCTAAAGAGAGATCTCACCGAACAGCTCCATCTGCATTGTTGACGTGAAATAATCGCTCAAATGGACATTGAATGCAAGGGCATCCTGAAGATTTTTACCTGAAATTTTTGTTGAAGTCAGGGATCAATCAAATGGTTCACGCTCAACACTGCATTTGTTTGTTACGCCTGATTGCCACTTACAAAAGGGTGCATATCGAGAAGAGTAACTTTACGAAAGTGAGGACGAGTATGAATCATTAGTTTATTGGGGGCATAAAGCATACCTTCGCCAGGCTTCAGTTGAGAAAATAGCTCCCAATCTTCTTCTGAAATTATTCAAATATAGTATCACCAGTCGAGTCGCCCGGCTTACCCCGGGCCACATTCTTCACTTCTACGAAGTTCTAGAATGCAGTTAGGGGAAGGCCTAGCTTCTATCCAAAACTGAGGGCTACAGTGCAAAGGATGGCGACCTCATCTGTGCTTAGAAACGGCTCTAGGCGATAGAATATGGTTTTGATTTCAGCCTTAGGAGGGATAGGGGTAATATAATTAGCTCGTGCAAAAAGCTAGGATGGAGTGTGAATCGACTATCTCCTCATCCACCCCAGTGCTCCTTCCCTCTTGAAGTTCAGGTCAAAAAAATGCATGTCCTCGGCTATGAAACTTTCATGGGCACAATTTTTATGAGTATTCCTAATCTGCGCTCTAGCGCTCAATGTTGAAAACAAAGCGGACAAAGGTCACTCAACTACATTATCACCTCCAGTTTTGTGTAGACATACATAGCATGATGCCAATAGAACGAAATCATAGTTCTACGCAACACATTACTCATATTACTTACTTTATTCCGCAGTATCACTCTACTCCATTAACCTACCCATCAATTTACTGCTTTGCATATGACAAGGAAATGTAGGACAGATCTGGGCTTTCCATATCACCGCCTTTCTCGTGATCACAAAGTTTTGCGGACCAGATCAACAAGCCGACATACCAACAAACGTTGTAATGGTATTGATTGATATGATCAATCGGCACGAAGACAATCAGTATAGCATTCAGACCTTCAGTTCTGAATGCCCCCTAGGGTTTGTCATAGGTCCTAATCACTTATTATTAGGTCGTGAAGAAAGTTCTTGCGTTTTTTGACGCCCATTTTTCAAATGCTCGCCGCGGTGTTATTTGCTACAAGATTGTCTGCAAGCTTTACACCGTTTTGAAGCGCATTTTTTGCTCTATTCAAATATATAATTGGTTTTGTCCTGGAGTGATTCGTGGTGTTTTGTAGAAGGTCAAAATCAGCATGAACAAGCGACAGTTTTGCACGATTTATCTTTTCCAATTCAAATTAGGCAGGAGTGCGACTGAAACGGCCCGGGATATCAACGATGCCCTTGGTGTAGGTACGACGAATCGACGTAGAGCACAGTGATGTTTAGAAAAATTCCGTATCCGTAATGAGAGCCTGGAAGATGATGAGCGTGGTGGGCGGTCTTCCGCCACTGACAACGAACAATTGAGAACGTTAGTGGAAGAAAATTCACATGCAACGCTGTAGGATATTGGCTCAAGATTGAATGTTTCCAGCAAGACGGTTGGCACCCACATGTAGGAGATCGGGAAGCCGAAGAAGCTTGATAAGTGGGTGCCGCATGAGTTGACTCAGCACCAGAAAGACCGCCACTTCGAGCTCGCCTCCACCTTGCTTCTGCGCAACAGGAACGATCCATTTTTAGACCGTATTGTGACGTGCGATGAGAAATGGATTCTGTACGACAACCGGCGACGATCAAGCCAGTATCTGAACAAGCATCAAGCCCCACGACATTTTTCCAAGCCGAAGCAGCATGGAAAGAAGGTTATGGTGATGTTTAGTGGTCTGCAGCCGGGCTGATCCCCCACAGCTTCTTGGATCCGGATGAAACCGTTACAGCCGAAAAGTACTGTCAAGAAATTGACGAAATGTATCGAAATTCCAGCTCATGAGCCCGGCACTGGTGAATAGGAAGGGGCCAATTCTACTCCACGGCAGCGCACGGGCCCACGTCGCACAACTTACCCTGAGAAAACTGATGGAGCTAGGCTATGAAACTCTCCCCCATCCACCACATTCCCCAGACCTTGCTCCCTTAGACTACCATTTCTTTAAACATCTCGACGGCTTTTTTAAGGAGAAATGCTCCAAAACCCAACATGATGCTGCCGCGGCATTCGACGATTTCATCGCCTTTAGATCTCCGGACTTCTATGCGAATAAGATAAACAAACTTGCATTTCGTTTACAAAAGTGTGGCGATAGTAATGTTTGTTATTTCGACTGATGAACTTTTGTTTAAGCCGAGATATGTGCATTTGAAGTTTGAGGCGCAAAAACGCAAGAACTTTCTTCACGACCTAATAATTTATAATACATTCGATGTCAACCTAATTCATTTCCGTCTTATCCCACGAAAGGATCAGAATGTTTCTTTATGTGCCTTTATCAGCCGTTATCATTTTTGCAGACCACCACCTGTGATCCAGTCACACCCAACATTACTTGTCGAAGCCGCAAAGCTGCTTTACTTTACAAATAGAAGAAGTGGTCCATTGGCTCTGCAACTCAGCGTCTATCTTCAGTACTTAGCAGTTATAATTAGTCCTTGTAACCCGACTCATCCCTGATAACGAATCGTACACCATCCTTCAAATTTTCAGTTTCCATTTGAACTAGAAGAGAGCAACTGTTGAAGTGGTTCGTGTCTTTGAGATTGTTTATTAACCCTTGGCATCTGACGAGCTATCACGCATGCATGCGATTGGAATCGATTCCACCATTGATACGGTTCCCTGCAGGTCAAGCCACTTGTTCTTTCAAACCGGTTAACTGTCAAAAGTATCATCTAGGCAAATGAAAGCGCTGACTTATACAAGGGCTCGCCACTGCAATTCACTATATATAGGCCTCACTCGCATTCAATACGCCACTTCGATAGAATATGGATCTCGAATATAACGAATGGGGCACAAACTTAAATTTACTTATTCATTTATTTGATATAACACAAAGGTGCGCTTCAGTAGCAAAAAACGGAACGAAATCAGTTGAATCAGTTACAAACTTAAGCAGCAGAAAGTCCGAAAGAAATGCACAATAAGAATAAACCATACGCATAATTGTATACTCTGGAAATCACCTCTCGGAACCTTCAAGACACACTCTAGAAATCTTATGCTAACAAAGCAGGGAGGTCCAACTTTCTCGATTTCTTTTTAAACACAGCGGTATTTCGCGCCTTTTGCAAGTCTAATGGGGACAGCTGAAGCCAACTCCCTCCACGGAGGAGAGGCGAATGAAGTACACCAGCCCGATGATTCCTCTTGAGTTTAGGGCACCGTAGCGATAACGCAGTGATACGACCTCTGCACGGTCCGATTACCCACTACTTACTCGCTCGCTTAAGCTCACCTTTCAGAATTTTAACACAGAATTCTACATCATTAAATACTCCTCTGAACAATAATATTTTAAAATTGGAGCGGTGCCGGCAGTCATCATAGTTCGTAAAGAACATGCGTATGTGGGGTCAGGATGACATCTACACAATATTCTCGTGAAATTTCATTGAACCTCCCAATTTTGGCCTGGAGGCTCCTAGTATGAGGGTTCCATATCTGTTAACCGTATTCGAATATGGGTAAACATATGCTTTATAGATACTCAGCAAAATTGAAGCAAGGTTGGACCGAACAACCCGAAGGCTTTTTGAACGACTACATCGATGCGGTGAAACTCCAACTTGGATTTGATAAGAAACCGAAGGTCGCGAACTTTACATGAAGTGTTCAGTGAAATGTTGTTGACTGTGTATGGCTCGATTATGGCTTCTCCTAAATGAAGCACAAACGTTATGCAACGTTTATAGGTATTCCCCAATCAGCAGCCCACTCCATCATATTGCGAAGGTTGGATTAAAACCTGGTGTACTCGACCATGATTATCATTGCTCTAAATGTCATATAGTACTTTAATGTCATCGGCATACATTTTCGCATTAATTAAAGGGTGTATATTGAGATATGAAAGTAAGTCGTGTGTGTACGCTACAAATAACATGGGAGATAATACGCCTCCTTTATGGACATCGCTGGTGCAAGGAAACCTCTGTGGAAAGCCGTTACCCACTAAGATACATATGCCTTTCAGACAAGACTGAGTCCAGTTAAGAATGTAGCCTTCGATTCCCAAATGTTGTTGATTAACGCCGAAAAGCTATAACTTCCCGTCTTCTTAAACAAAGTTTTCAAGAGGAATTGACACACCATACACCACTTATTTCAAAAAATAACCGTGCGATTTGTGGACGCGAGAAAAAAAATTTCCTAGATAATGTCCAGTTCAACTCACTCAAATAAACTCCAAAATAGTAAAGCTGAAAAAGAGGTTTGTCAAAGATCCATCAACAACAGCTAATCCCAAGAAACTCAAATCGCATTGGAGTATGTTACGGAGATAAAGCACTGCAGTCTTCCCCCGAACCTCATGAGAACAAAAAGAATGAAAGAACATTCGGTATAGAGTAATTGTATATTCATAAACAGACAGACAGACTACGTGGCAAAATGACGTAGGTCGCTTATTAATTGTTGCAGCGATAAAGTTTGTTGCAGCATTTGGGACGCTTTTTGTCACATATTGGTGCTGTTGATGTAAATGTCTTTGCATTTCTCATCCAACATAACTATGCCCAGTTCAAGGTGAGGAACTCGGATAAGTGAAGGTGAAGTTACTTGTACAACGGTCGTGATATAATGTGATTTACAACCGCCTTCATCTGAATAAACTTCAAGATGACGTGAGACAGATGGTAGATTGTCACCACTCATAAATCGGCCTTGCCTCTCTCTCATAGGTCCTCAGCCTTTGCATTCATTCCTGGAGCGCAGGTGTCGTCGAAGGACAATGTCGCTGTTAGCGCAGATCTTCATCAAGCACTCGAAACGCTTTTCAAGGTAAACGAATCAGAGACACAAATCCTATACTAGTACCCATTCGACAAGTGGACCAGGCATAATAAATTACCATCTGTCTAGTGGAACACGATATTGGCTTTGGAAAGCAGAGCAGTCTTCCACTGAATTTCTCGCGAAAACAGAAAAAAAAGATTTGCAAAGAAACGCTTTGAAAAGTTTCTAAGAGAACTATCCACAATCTCTCTCATTTATAAAGCAGTAACTTGGTGTCGCTTTGTCGGTCTGTCCATCCGCAAAATTTCATGATTACGATAAAGGCAAAGATATGGCGAGCCGAGCTCTCACATTTACACTATACAAAGCACTAAATTGGTGTGTAGGTTAATGGAGTGCAGCGAGTGCTACGGAGGGAAGTGAATAGTGTGGACTTACGTGCATACTTCAGAACTATGATTTCGATCTGTACTAACATCATGCTATGTACATATGTCTATACAAAAATCAGAGGTAATAATGTGGTTGAGAGAGTCCGCTTTTTTACAACATTAAGCGCTAGGGATAAGGAGATCAGCCCATAATTATGCTCAGCAACGTTGCTTAGCTGAGATCATTTAATTTTCTGACCTAGCTTCAAAAGGGAAGAAGCACTGGGATGAATGGATCGAAAGGATACTCAACTCCCACCCTATGCTAGCTTTAGGGCCGGCTACCCGCACTAAAGTCCTCATTGTTCAATAAAGGCGAAGCCCCTCCTCCTCCCCGTACCTACGTCATTATATACTACTCTCCGAAGGAAGGAATGAGGCCCGGCGTAAGCCGGCTACCCATGTGGTGATCAAGGTTATGAGTCTTTTTTGTAGCTTCTCATTCTGACTACATCACAATAAGTGGAGAAAATCAGGTCGATAATAGTTTGAAAAATATGTGAAATATAGATGAAACATTTGATATTTTGAAATGTTTGTTCTTGTTATAAAGTGTCTATGTAAATATGTTTGAAATGTGAACTTTCCCACCTATATATATCTTCTCAATAAATTCTGCATTCTGGAAATAGCTAGTTCGGGCTGAACCATAGCCAATTCGGGCTGAACTAGTCTCATAGCTAGTTGGGGCTGAACTAGTCTCATAGCTAGTTCGGGCTGAAGTACTCTCCGACATACTTTTTATATATTCCTCGAAACTAGGCACGGTCACCGAGTCGGGCAGGACCTAAAACAAATACATTTACCGTCTGCAATGTGTAAGCTCTAGAACTGACTACATACGGATGATACATCTCAAGATTAAAAGATTGTGGTTTCGGAGTTTTCTCCATAATCGGTGGGGCTTATTTGGAAAAACGGTACAATCCCAGAGTCTACCTTCCAGCGTAATATGGAACTCAGTGCATTCGATTACTTGATGTTGGGCAGTAACTCATTGATCCTAGACCCTCCTTGCGAGATTTTTTGTGTTTTAATCGCGGGTTTGGCAGGAACTCCTAACGACTAGTAAAAGTGAGCATGGCCGATTTCTAAAGACAAGGGCCTTCTTGAATAGCTCATGACGATTGATTCACAACTGCAATCTTCTGAAAAAGTAAGAAGGTCCAAAGGAAGGATTCGTTACGATGACTTCCAATAGAGTATCCCCAATCCATCCGATTCTGATACACATCTCTTCTGACTGGCAAACCGAACTGATAACAAGTCCGGTTGCACTTCACCTTCATCCTGTTCACGAAAATCTCATTTTCTTTTCTACTTCTATTGAAAGAACGGAGTTCTTGGAAGCAAGAGAGTGGGTGCGCGATAGAATGCAATCGCTGCTGAAATTATTAATAGTTTCTTTTGATAGAAGCATTGTCAAGCATTGTGGAGTTTTAGGTATTGATCGGGATCTTGATGCGGGAGCCCACGACCTCAGCACCCAAAATTTTTGAAGCGTTTTAGATCAGCGCAAAAAATTCCATCATAGATCGGAAAGATGAATGTCTCGCCGTAACTGACGACCTTACCCTGTTCCTCGACCTGTGTGGATCAACGTAACATGCGTCAAGTCAGGGTTCAAGACACCCGTAACCTACCCACAAGGTTCAAATACACAGTTAAAAAAGGATCACGATCCTCTTTCTGATAACTGAGATGGGTTAACTGCTGTGGTTTGCAAGACATTTCTGAATATCTAAAGGCTACATTTAAACTGAGGTGAGGTTTGAACGTCTTTGATCAGGATAGATCCCAAATGTTTTTTAGCTTTCGGGCTCTGATGAAGGTGACTGGGCGAAACATTAGCCAAATACTATGACCAGAACATCTAAGACATCAAGATATCAAGCAAATATTGAGTAAGAGTTGAACATGGTTGCTTCATCTTGGGCAGTTTGCTCAGTGGCATCGTTAAGATATTACCACATTGGTTGCTTGTGCCAGATTTTCGTCTAACAAAGACTTACAGTTTCCGAGGAGAATTTTCGACGTTACAACAAGATGCACAAGACACCCGGAGCTGAGACTCTTAAAGGCACGGTTCACGATAAAAAAGGTTACTGGGTTCTTCCTTCAGAAATACTCAGCGGCCTTCATGGGTGGTAGAAGGGACCCTCTCGCTCTCACGAACTCGGCGCTTAAGACATAATGGAAGCCCCGTTGCTGCCATAGTTCGCTTTCCCGCCCCTCGATCGGTGTCACGTTAGACGAGCGTCGAGACAATACAGATTGCTACTATTCGTTGTAAGACCCACGCACAATCAGCTAATCGCCGAGTGATGAGGCGATGTTTTTCTCCCATTCTTTTTTCCTCTGTTTTTCTTTTTGCTGCCGCGATCCCTTATTTAATTCCCTACTCCTAAAGACTGAAAAAGNTTCGTTGTAAGACCCACGCACAATCAGCTAATCGCCGAGTGATGAGGCGATGTTTTTCTCCCATTCTTTTTTCCTCTGTTTTTCTTTTTGCTGCCGCGATCCCTTATTTAATTCCCTACTCCTAGAGACTGAAAAAGGTGAGCTACTTTCCTGTTACTAGGGTTCTTTTGTTTATTTATGCTTATGAGTGAATGAATTTTTGCTTACCATTGTCTGTTATTCGCACCAGGACCCACACGCGCGCAGTGAAACACACTGTTTAGCTCGTCCGGAGCCCCACTCTTCTTCATTTTTCTTGTTTCATTCTCGTCCAGCCCCCTTTTTGACGGTTTTTGAAGGCCTTTTTCACTTTGGAAACACCGATGCACGCAGTTTCTTCACCCCAGTCGCACTAGTTTCGATCTTGTCTTCCATTTTTCATCATAATCTAAATTACCCAAAATTATCGTGAACTGTGCCTTCAAGGGGGTTAACCACTGACCATCAGCTCGACAAATAAAACGTTAGCGTTCTGGATAGAAATATCGCAAGTGCAATTACTACTCACGAAAAAGTTGCTATCAGAACAGCCAACTCATGCTTAGTGTGGGAGTCATGTTGATAGGACGCCATTGGTTTTGTCGATACTGGCGTAAAAAATGAAAAAGCGGTGCACTTAATGAGTATACTAATGGGCGTACTGAAGCATTGATCCCAACCCGCTTCCTAAAACAGCCTAGGTTCTCCTGCAATACTATGTCCAAGTCACAGCGCCAAGCTTCCAAGAGTGGTGCAGACGCAAGCTGCCAGACATCCTTAGCACGGAGGAGTGGCATTTCAACCTCTGGGGGTTAATGCTGATGAGGGTTATTTTAGAACGTGATAATAGCATGGTGTAGCACATAATGTGAGCAGACGTGTGTAGGGTTTCATTATTATTCTCAGCTTAAGAGCTACGAATTTATTGCAATAGAGAGGTGCCTATAATTCCGAGGCACCCTGTAGTTACCTAGTAAACTAATGCGTGCATCACTTGCCCGCGATCCCTTACCTACCTTGAAATTAGTCAGCGGAGCGTTTGTTGTGTTTAAAAATTGTAATACACTTCATCTTTACATCTATTATAGAGTGTTTTGAGCTGATAGAATGGATCAGCTTTACTATACAAAAATTCGCGATACGCTGAATTAAGTTGCTGATTACTGCGGAGAAAATTTGCCAGAGAAATGGGATTTGAAAGCAATTATTCAAGGAAGCAATTGGTAGCAGGATGATGGTTATAACGATGTAGGAATGATAAATATGTGAAGTGTATTTTCTACGATTTTTTTCATTCGAACTTACACTTTCGGCTTGGAGATAGCAGGTATCCCACAAAAAGATTGGACGTTTCTGAAAAGAGTGTATAAGCCCTTCACGATGACGAAGGAGAAGGAACGAAAATTGAAGGATCTAAAATGTCTTTCCTTCACTACTGTAACGTCAGCCGTTTGTATCCAAGGCTGCCTGAATCCCTATCGAATTTGGGCACTCAAGAGCTAGGGGAACTGGAGATATGTTGGGCTCCTGCCAAACACGTGTCGACACACGTACAGAAGAACCCAACGGCGTAACAACATGGGCACTTGGCGAATTTTATGTGGTAGGATACTAGAGAGCATAAGCATTTATAAGAACGCAGCACTGATTCGTTTTTAATTCACCTAGAATCATTTTTGTAGCCAACGCTATTTTCCACATACACCTCCATGTAGAGTTGCGATTTAAGTAGGCATCCTGTATACATAGAGGTAAGAAGTTGCAGTCACCTTTATATTTTTCTATGTTTATGTGTCGGTATACATGTGTCAATGTGTATGTGTGTGTTTGTGTGGGTGCCGGAGCATCCAAATTCAGAATAGTTGCAAGCGGCAAGGCAAGTGTGACGCGAAATCGGGAGAGATCGGCGTAATCGGTGATGCTGTTTGACTTATTAGACTACCAAATACAAGGGACTAGGTCTGAATGTAAATAGGTGTGTACTTATGTATGTACAGTATGTGGCGCTCAAAAGTATTCGCCCAAGCAGTTTTTCGGCCGTAACTTTTTTTCTCAGTGGAGCAAATCGCATGAAATTTTGATATGTTCAACTGAAGCATATTNTCAAACGCTATTTGACTGCAAAGCAGCGATGCCCGCATAATTAAAAGGAAGGCGCTTGTAGACTATGCTGAAAGCAAATTTGTGACGTCTGCACTTATTCGCACCTTATGTGCGTTTTTCTCCTCTGAGGAATAAGGAAATAAGGAAAGAAATCTTAGAAGCATTCATGTCTGTATTTTCAGTTGATTTTGAGTTCAGGCTCTTTAGTATGTCTGGAACACGATCAGATTGCAGGTCGATAGTGGCAGATATTCACACTACACCCATGCTACACATTGAAATTTCGCAGGACTAGATCAACTAGGAAAGGAGTTACGACTGAAATTACGACTGCAGAAGCAGTTGGCCGAATACTTTCGAGCGCTCCTGTTTATATGCCATATGTATGTATACACAGTGCCAAGATTCTGAGGAAACACCATGTTTTACTCTTCGACAACTTCTTCTACCGTACTACGGGGTGGCTTGATTGCCTCCGAACTGAATTACTCCGATCACCAGGTGGTAAGGTATACAGAGGAAGGCTGAGATAAGTTAATTTTGGAGAGATGTTGAATTTTAACCTTTGATTTGATTGAAGCAGTAGAGGCCTAGTCTTTAACACTCGAATTTTGTAGAATAGCCTCTCACCATTCTGCAAGGCTGTCCAGGAAACTACACACGTTTCGCTCGCCCATTTCCAGGACAAGAGCCCTTTCCCTTGCAAGTCCCTGGCAATATTTCCAAGCATTGGTTTAGAGCATTAGCATTGGTGTTATATATAACATACTGGTGTTCTTGAACAAAGAATAACTACTTCGGTTTTCCTTTCAACTGGTGTTTCTTTGATTTCCCCCGCCTTCCAATCTTTGCCTCCTATCCGAAAAGTAGCCAGCAAGTCGCGCAAAGATCCTGAAGATTACTCAATTAGATTTCTCAAGAACCTCCTTAGTTGTTAATCTGGAACCCACGTTGACAAGGTAGCCATTCTATAAAATGGAAAACACCCTTTAGGAATGTAATCCTTCTGAAAACTGGGAGCTTCATTTTACTATAGTACCGTATAGTACTATATTTTTTTATATGGTAAAGATGGGAGTTTATCTCTGCATGCGACTTTCTGTGATGGGAATCCTTTCAATATCAATTCTAATTTCGAATGGTCTTTTCTGTATGTTCCGTTTGCATTTTTACTTCAGTCAATTTCATTTTCATGATTGAGAGTTCTGTCCTCTAAGATAGGCACACCTTTGAGTGTACGAAATAAATGAATAAATAAATATGTATGCTGCATGTGTGTATGTATATATGTATGTGTGTATGTATGTAGTACTATGTATGTATGCATCTGTGCCTAATGATATCGGCATGTGTGTATGTAAGCTTGTACTACATGTGCGCATTTGTGTACAGGGGGCGCCATAAGTAAGGTAGCAAAACAATTGTGGTGCGGAAAACATCAAATCGGTTCCTGGCGAACTCATGTTAACTATTTACCATGCATCCCGTAAGCAAAACCAACATACAGTTATCAGATCTAGCCGTTTTCTGTACTGATAATAGCAGCTTAAAGACGCACAGGGTTCTTATCGAGAGCGGCCCGCAGAGTTTTTTTGAGGAATTGCGCTCTGATCTCTCTTGCCAATTTTTTTGAAACAATAAATGGTGTGTGTGTTTCGAGGCCCGCGCTTCAGTCCTTAGAAGGGATCATACCGGTCAGTTCATTGGATTACGGTCAAGCCGAATCAAAAGGCCAATAGGAAACAATAAAATTGAGTACGCTTTCTCAGCAACACTCGATCTTCTTCTATTCGTGAGCAAGAACTCCTAGCAGGGGTAAAAGATTAATTCAAGGGACGGTTTGGAGCACATGGTCAGCACAAGTCTTGGAAAAATATTTAGGCCACAGCGAGGGTCGACGATATTCCGAGATGACCCTTTGACTTTCCTCGAAAATGGCCTTTGCGAAGACATTATGAACAGTTGCGATATCTTTCTTCCAGAAAATGAGCATTATTTATTTGGTGGTGCAGATAAAGGCTTTCAGCACTGTGCCCTTCCTGCCGAGACTCACTCCTAAGAGAATCGGGCACTACGCAAGCTGGATAAGCATGCAGTCAGCGCTGAATGATGATCAGGAACGCTGCTGCGAAGGAATCAAAGATCACATGGAAATGGAGTAACAACTGTTTTAACGGCTTCCTCATGCGGAAACGAGGCGCAAAGACATTGATATCTGGTTTAACGGGCATGAAAATAAATGAGCATATGAGTGATAAAAAACGGGGGGATTCCATTATATTTGATTT